GCTTATGCTACGAGGCGGTTTCTTTGGTCTGACTTCAGAGCTGGGGCTGCAACTTCCACTTTTTCCTGAGCCCTGGCACATAGTAGGCACTCGATATACATTTATTCAATGGACAGATGGAGGAGAGGACCCCCCCCCCCCCAAATATCGGGCATCGTGCATAGAGAGAGGGAGGAGATGTGGTTGCTTAGCAACCGGCAGCCTGTGGCTCCTTGAGGGTCTCATCCCTTCCAACCTTTAGCGAGCTACTGTACTCTGCCCTGGCCATACCTGGGCCCTCCTGGAGGCCTCAGCCCTGGGTCCTCCCTGGACAGGTGCTGGGCCTGCCCCCAGTTACACCAGCACAGTGGGTGAAGTCAGGGACGTTGAGGCGACCACCTAACAGAGTCATCCTTTCCCTCAAAGACTGGCTGGTGAGGCAAGACTGATTTGTCAGATAAATCCGATTTCTCTGGGATCACTGTTTTGCCTTCCGCCTCCCCGGATCCAAACACAGAAGAAATAATAATGACAATAATGGTAATAAGAGAGGGCATCTCTCAGGCTCTGGGCCACTTTTTAAACGTTGCCTCCAAACCTTACGATCCACCCGCACTGGCCGTCATTCGTTCCCCTTTTCACCAGGGGAAACTGAGGCCAGGAAGAGGGAAGTATGTGGTCCAAGGTTGCCCAGCTCAAAAGTGGGGAAGACAAGATCTGAATCTGGGTATGGAATGCCAAAACTCATGCCCTTTCCACCGCTGACTCAGGAGAGGGAGTCATTCCGTGGACGCTCTACCCTTGGCCTCCGGGAAAGTAGGTTCCCATCCGGGGCTCCTGGGAGACTAGCTGCAAGAGAGACTTGGGCCCGCTGGGAGTCATGCGCGCTCCCAGGCTCTAAAGGGCAAGGCGGTTAGGGCAGAAAAGGCTGAGGATGTATGTGGGCGTGGGCGCTGTTTTCTCATGTTTGTGTGGGAGAGAGGGACCCACAGAGACTGCTAATACTCGTCACGGCCACAATAATTCGAATAGTGATAGTAGTGGAGTTGTGATAAAGGTAGCCAACATTTCTTGGCACTTACCTGTGTTCCTGACACGTGCTAAGTGCTGGACCTGAACGTTGAGGCAGCGGTTAAGCGCCGGGACTCAGGGGCAGGTGGACTGGTGCAGAATCCCAGCTTTGCCACTGGTTGACTTTGGGAGACTCACCTGGCTGGTGTGAGGCTCCATGTCCTCATCTGTAAAATGGGTTCAGAGCCCCCGTCTCGTGGGCCCCTTCTGAGGAGGAAGTGGTACCCTGGACGTAAAGCAATTAGCACTGAGCCTTCCGTCCCCAGTAGCCATTATGGTGTACAGACACGTCCACTACGGAGGTGTGTGTGAATGCACACGTGT